TAGCATGGCTCACTCTTGGCGCGGTTGGCGGGGTACGCCCACCGACTATCTGATCACTCGCCGCAGGTCTATACGTGGCGAGTGATTAGATAGCAGAGAGAGCGTAGTGTTGAAGAGGGCACAGCGATGAGAGTCGCATCAATGCGCAAATCAACGGGCAAGGAAGGGGTCCCATTTCTCGGGTTTCGGGCCGTTTCAAATGGTTTCTTCTTCATCTGCTCCACTGACCACCTCTACCCTTATTTCCAATGAGCTAACTTTTCATCGTAAATTCTGCCTTTTAACATTGGAATTGAACATCCTGTTTTCCCAAAACGTGAGGTCTGGGTGCTCCTATTGTTCAGGAATGAACTATACCTATTGGGTTAAGCGCGAGATCCTCAAAGATCTAGCGCCCCCCCCCCCAACCTCACCCACACAAATTCCCCACACCCATGTTAACCCTTGATTTCACCACAAATCAACCGCAGTAGCATGATCCGGCTGGGCGACCAACATAGCAAGGCGTAATGGTAGTTTTCGTGCCCCAGCGTGAAGACCGCGCCGCAACCGCTCTCTTGGTGTTGTCGGGTTTTCGAATGAAGAGTTGCAAATGACGCTGCTCGATTGTTTCTGATCGTTGTGATGCTCTTCCAATTAGATTTGTCGTTTCAGTAGCTTTCATTACTGCCATCTGAGATAACTGACGTTTTGAATGTTTTTCCATACCAAGAAGCACTTTAATGCAGTTCCACTGGAATAAATTCACGAGTTTTTCTTCGTAAATTGTTTTTACTGCCGTTTGTATCGAAGAGATGGTTCGATGATTTCTGTGTTGTGCTACTCTTTCTTCCATACCATATTCCCTGGTTTTTAGATCTTTTCTGCATCTTTCAGCTTCTTTGGAATCGCAAATGTTTTTATGTGAGATCTATTTCAACTCGTATGATGGTTCATGTATTATTACCTGTCTGAGCCTTATTTAATAGGCGTCACATTGTCGAATGTCACAGGCAGAGATTGCTATATGTTTTTGAATACATTATTTCAGAAAATGACCTCAGTAGGAGTGCCAATCAAGATTTTACACGAAGCTGAAGGTCATGTTGTTACTCTTGAAACAGTCACGGGTGAGTAACAATCACGTTTGTGAACAGTTTGTGTTACTTTTGGTACTCTTTATACAGGGGCACGTTCGTTCGGACTATTCGAGCGAGAGGATCGCATTTGTAATACTTAAGGGGGTAGCTCGCAAATGTGGTTGAGTTTTGACGAGTTTTTCGATGATCTTAGCGAAAGTCCCAGGGAAGCTGCGTGAATTTACAAAATTGGTGCAGTTTGTGTATTCATTGTGCAAATTTACGCCCTTCACTCCTTCCCAGCCGTGATCGCCCTTCACTCCTCAGCCGTGATGGTGAGGGTGGCGGTCGGCGTAGGGGAGGGCGGACGTAATGGAGGAGCCTCTCAAGACTGAAGGTGTGGTAAAAGGGCGGCATCGAGCCCCCTTGAGGGGGCATGCGAAAGTCTTGGAAAAGTATGCGAACGCAAACGGGCTTGACTCTGCTATGGTATTGTGAACCCCACGACCTCACTGTTCCAAAGTCTGACTTTAAGGTGGTGTGATACTGACTGGATACCTTTTCTAGGGAATTAACAAGGTACATTTGCGTGAGAGTTTATAGAATCAGGTTATGTATAAGGTAACAAAAGTTTTCACAATAGTTTCCACCCTTCTACTTTCGTGTGCCTTTACATACTTCTCCAACTTAACAAAGAAGTTCTGTCGAATGGAATAGCAAAATAGGACAACTTACTGGACAAATATCTCAACTTTTCGCAAACTTTAAAATTTTGAGAAAACCCTTCGCAAACTCTTTTATTCTGGCTGCTCGGAGATACAAAGGACCAAATAAAATACTTCTGGCGCGGTTTTCACGATTTATACTCGACTCGGAGAAGAATAAGAGTGTTTGGGACATTTTAGTCATTTAAAAACCAGGTGAAGATGAACTAAAAATGCTATCCAGGACAATTAAGTAGTTTTCAAGCGGCTAAACATTTTTTTGTGTGTATCACTCGTTTGGAGCTCAAAATGTTCACGGTGTGAATTCAGATGAATCGTTTTTCATTTTCGCAACGCACTTCTACTTATTTCGGATTTTTTCCCGTTGAACTATCTTACTGATAGGGTTGTTTGAGTATGAAAATAGTACTACAGCCGTAAAGCCCTCACCGATCTTCTGTTGCATATTGTTCAGCCATTGCTTATTACGATTTTTCCCTCCGAATTAGAAATTAGTTTGTGTAGTGAAACCTCCAAGAGATCTTGTTGCGCCTTCGTCTATCAAGAACAATTTAGGTGAGGTTTACCGAGGTAAACTCCTAGAAGCTGAGGACAACATGAATTGTCAGATGGCTGAGGTATGCGTCACATTTCGTGATGGAAGGACCCATCAGCTTGATAACGTTTTTGTTAGAGGGAACAAGGTTAGTCTTTCAATGGACATTTCATGTTTTTTGTTGATAGGTTGTGATGGTTATGGAAAGCTTACTCGCCATTCTATTATTAAAGTTTTCCATTTATAGATCCGTTTTATGATTTTGCCAGATATGCTGAAGAATGCTCCTATGTTTAAAAATATTGGACGAGCGCAGAAGGTACTCGAAAATTCATCCTTTGTTGTTTTACTTATTTATTTATTTGTTTATTTATTCCTTGTACCAACTGAGAAAGCTTATGAGTATCCCAAAAGCAAAGCGCATTCATAATCTGAAATGTCAAAAGGAGTAACCCAAGCTCCAAGAATGGCGGAGCAGAAGAAAACGGGTAGGTGCGGGCATGGTTTGGCGCCAGCATGTTTTCTGGGTAGAAAACAGTATTTGTTTTGACAAAGTAGCACGATTATTCCTCGTCCCACACTTAAAATGTCAGTTCTTCTTTTTTTTTCTGAATAATCAGTAGATGCCATGAAATATTAGCTTATTGTGATGTGTAGCTTGAAATACTCGCAGCGCGAATACAAGCGCTGGGAACAGCTGTAATTAAGCCATGAAGTGAGTAAAAGTTTTCTATTAAGCAAACTAAAACTTACATGTTCTGGACACAATAGCTTTTCATTCTTATGCATTGGAAAATGTTGATGAATATTTCACTTTAAGGGAGCCATTGGAATGGGTATGGGCGATAATGTGCGAGGAGGCGGGCGTGGAGGTAGAGGAACGTCTTTCCGTGCAAGGTAAGTTTCCACTTTCGCTATGGGAAGTTATTAGCGCGTTTAATGAGTTTGGGTTTTCTTAATAGTCAGAAATGAAACTTATCATTTGCTGAAGACTTGTTTTTTAAAATTTATGCAGTCGAATTCTATTAAGTAAGCTGGATATATATCGAAATAATGTGCACGTACCTTTGTTTGTACTACTACGACTTACTACAATTTGTAAGTAGGAACGCTCTAGTGTCAACGCTGCGTAACGGAATTGACGACTTTTGCGTTCTGACGCGCCTTATCAGCCCTTATCAGTTGTAACCACTTTCCATCACCTACCAACAATGTCCCCGTCCCACCCCACATGACACCTGCGAGTATGGACGCTCTAGTGTCAACGCAAGCTGCGTAATGGAATCGACGACTTTTGCGTTCTGACGCCCCTTATCAGCCCTTATCAGTTGTAACCACTTTCCATCACCTACCAACAATGTCCCCGTCCCACCCCACATGACACCTGCGAGTATGGACGCTCTAGTGTCAACGCAAGCTGCGTAACGGAATTGACGACTTTTGCGTTCTGACGCGCCTTATCAGCCCTTATCAATCGTTATCAGTTTCTGGCACCCACCAACAATGTCCCCGTCCCACCCCACATAACACTTGTAAGTATGGTTGCTCTGGTGTCAACGCGAGCCAGGCAACGGAATCGACGACTTCAGCGTTCTGGCGCGCCTTATCGGCCCTTATCAATCGTTATCAGTTTCTGGCACCCACCAACAATGTCCCCGTCCCACCCCACATAACACTTGTAAGTATGGTTGCTCTGGTGTCAACGCGAGCCAGGCAACGGAATCGACGACTTCAGCGTTCTGGCGCGCCTTATCGGCCCTTATCAATCGTTATCAGTTTCTGGCACCCACCAACAATGTCCCCGTCCCACCCCACATAACACTTGTAAGTATGGTTTGCTCTGGTGTCAACGCGAGCCAGGCAACGGAATCGACGACTTCAGCGTTCTGGCGCGCCTTATCGGCCCTTATCAATCGTTATCAGTTTCTGGCACCCACCAACAATGTCCCCGTCCCACCCCACATAACACTTGTAAGTATGGTTGCTCTGGTGTCAACGCGAGCCAGGCAACGGAATCGACGACTTCAGCGTTCTGGCGCGCCTCGCGTACGCCATTGGAGGTGAGCGTACCGTTGGAGCTCCGGTCGAAGGCTTAATACGCCTTATCGGCCCTTATCAATCGTTATCAGTTTCTGGCACCCACCAACAATGTCCCCGTCCCACCCCACATAACACTTGTAAGTATGGTTGCTCTGGTGTCAACGCGAGCCAGGCAACGGAATCGACGACTTCAGCGTTCTGGCGCGCCTTATCGGCCCTTATCAATCGTTATCAGTTTCTGGCACCCACCAACAATGTCCCCGTCCCACCCCACATAACACTTGTAAGTATGGTTGCTCTGGTGTCAACGCGAGCCAGGCAACGGAATCGACGACTTCAGCGTTCTGGCGCGCCTTATCGGCCCTTATCAATCGTTATCAGTTTCTGGCACCCACCAACAATGTCCCCGTCCCACCCCACATAACACTTGTAAGTATGGTTGCTCTGGTGTCAACGCGAGCCAGGCAACGGAATCGACGACTTCAGCGTTCTGGCGCGCCTTATCGGCCCTTATCAATCGTTATCAGTTTCTGGCACCCACCAACAATGTCCCCGTCCCACCCCACATAACACTTGTAAGTATGGTTGCTCTGGTGTCAACGCGAGCCAGGCAACGGAATCGACGACTTCAGCGTTCTGGCGCATCTTATCAGCCATTATCAGTTGCTATCGCTTCCAATCATGTACCACCAATGTCCCGGGACCGCCCCACATAAGACTTGTAAGTATAGACGCTCTTTTACCAATATGAACGGCAAAACGAAATTGGCGATGCTCGCTTTCTAGCCCCTCTTATCAGCTATTATCAGTCGTTATCAGTTCCTATCACGTACCACTTGTGTCCCCATCCCACCCCCTATAACATATGTAAGAACCACTGCGCTATCGTTACTGTGACTCGAGCTATGAATTTCCGGTCAAACACACACACACACACACACACACACCAACAGACACACGCTAGCCGCTTATATATAGTAGGATTTTTTACGCATTACTTTTCCTTGTCAGATTTTAGTAATACTATAATACTTATTTCTTTTAAAAAGAAGCCTTGAGGTGAGAAAAACCTTTCTAGGGGTGCTGGTATGGCTCGAGGCGCTACTCGTGGAGCGGTTCGCGGAGCTCCAGGCGGGTTCCGTGGTTAGCAATGTCGATCACTGCCGTTATGGCCGACTTGGGTTTTTCTCCATCCGTTGATGTGTCGATTACGTCGTTCTGTGTGTTGTTTGTCGGCGATCTCTGATCATTCATTGTTGTATCTTTATTATTTCCGTTCTATGTTGTTAATGTTCAAGATGAAAGTAAGTAAGACGCGTTCACTGTCCTACTCGAGAATGATCAATCAAACGCAAACCTTGTCGAATGTGAAAGTTCAACGTGAATCATACGTGTGTGATTCTTGGCAAGTGCATGGCGCACATTCGAAAATGGCTCTCGAGCGTTTAAGAGATCAGAAATCAACAGTCCATTCCGAAATCAGAAAGGGAATTTACGAAACCAGCTTTTTCTGTGGAATTAGCAAGTAACTAAAAAAAGACATGGGTTAGATCCAAAATTAGGATGGCAAAAGTTGAAAGTTACTGGCAGAATTCTCAAGAGGGACGCCAAGAAATTCACCATTCAAAGGAGAAAAGCAGTTTTCAGTGTTGACTTGATGAACACGGATTCATCTCACGTTCAGCGGACATGCCGCAAATTAGGTCCCAAAATTAGGTCGCTGTCGCACTATTGCAACCCCAAAAACACTCGCCAAAATATCCCCTCCAAAAATTAGTGGGTAGCGGTCATTCCATGACCACGAATATGACATTCGTTTTGGACATTGACGCCATTTGGGCTCAGCGCTCAACCCGCGCCCGGTCAATAACAGGTATATTCGTGATCAGAGCATTGAGTTAGCCCTATGAGTGAAGTTTCACAGAAAGGATCTTTTCGGGGTTGTACTATTGCGGGCATCTGAGTTGCATTAGTGTAGCAGTGCCGAAACTTTGATTTGACTATTTACCTTTTACTGCCCCACTCCTCAACAACTGAGCCGGATTTTGATCGAAATTCGTCCATGACTGTGGATTTTGCTAAAAGGGGGGGGGTCGTACCTGGTTGAGTTTGTAGGGGGGGTCGTACCCACTTTAGTCGCTCGAAATCACGTGTGGGATTGAGGTGAAACTAAGATTTCGTGGGTAGTAGGCTGGGCGAGTGGAGGGCGCGCAGGATAAAAATTTGCCGTTTCAGCGGGCGTATATACCCCCCCTAGAAAAGGAAGTAGTGGGAGTATAGGTATTTCAGAGTGACTATATACCCCTCCCCCCACCGCTCGACGGCATTTTTGGAGGAAAAAGTGGGCGGGGTTTTGATGGAAGATGGAGATGGTGGAAGGAAAAGGGGGTCGTATCAAATCCACGTTGGGGGAGGGGGTCGTAAAAATTTTTCGAAAAGTAACACCCGTAGACCCGTAGATCACGAATATAATACCGGTTTAGAGCGAAAACGCTTGGCGCCCGCGCCACAGGCGCCGGCGCTATCACAACAGTTTTGCGCGGGCGCTCGTAGCGCAGGCTACAGGTTCACTCGTAACAAACTGATGTGATAATCATATTCTACGGGTCAAAATACCTCTGAGGACAACTTTCCAGCGAATTTGGGGATCCGAGATGTTCTGGCGCCTTTTGGCGCCGGCGCTTCTGACGCGAGCGCCAGGCGTTCTAGCGGTAAACAAATGTGATATTCGTGTTCTACGGGTCGAATTACCCCCGAAGGCAAGTTTCTGGCCAAATTCACAGTCATGACCAATTTCGATAAAAATCCGGCTCAGTTCTCGAGGAGTGGGGCAGTAAAGGGTAAATAGTGCCGGACTTTCCTTTGGTCTTGACTTTTATAATAACTCAGACGAATGATCAGACGAGCTTGCGTCTTCTCTTACCCTCTCCACGACTCAGCCCACAATATCAGAAGGTGGGTAATGGGTTCCCAATATTGGTG